AAGGCTCCAAAGTCCACTGCGCTGTCACAGTCGTTGTGAACATACCTGAAACAGAGAATGATTTCTCAGTAACATCATGCACCATGCATGAGCTATTTTCTAGGAATGTGATTGTTTCAGATTAAAAGGTCTGAAAATCAGGACGCCACCTGAATAATCACATTTATCAAACTGGTTGATCTATAAGATGATGCTAGTGGTAACATCTGCTTACCAGCAGCATCTAAATTATGCAGCCTTGAAATGAGTGGTCTACAAAGTTGCTTCAATGTTTTCCTTTTCTAAATTTATTTTTATCTTGCTTTAAAGTCTATACAACGGGGAAAAACTTGAAAAAAAAAATGAAATAATAGATGAAATTAGAAATACACAATCAGGTCTTCTTAAGAGAATAAAGGAAAAATGGTTTCATGAAAGTTCATTCTAAACAATAGTTCTCTATATTTTACGTCTTAGTTCAGCAGAAATATTCATCATTTCAAAGACCATTTTTTTTTTATTTTGTGCATAAGTAAATTATTATGAAAGCTTATGAAAAACTTTATTAGTTTAAAAGTGTGCAGAGTGGAGGGGGGTTGTCCTGACCACTGTACCACCTGGTGGTCAATTTCAGTAACAGGGACAAAGAACGACCATTAGAAAAAGTGAGTTTTTATCATGTTTTGCCTGTGGAAAAATTATGATCTCCAACTGGTTCCTCTGAGTTTATTACTCTCCTTGCTGTTACCACTTACATAGAATATACAACTTAATATCTACATATAATTACAACACCATCCATAACTGACTTATTGCAGATCACAAACTGCCTAAACTACATTTCAAGTAAGCTGGGCTGATTCTTCCTATACCCTTTTATCTGCATAATAATTGCCTTGAAGAGGTCACACACTACATCCTAGCATAAATACAATCTTATTATAACTAACCATTCAACTGCACACTATACTAAGATTTACTGTGCCAGTTATTTGAGGAACTGTACTATATTCCTCTATTTGTATTTATTTCATTTTATTTTAATACCAGAAATTATGTACTTCTTGACAAAAGCATTTACAATTGTATTGAAGTCTTCTGTATCAACTGCCTGTAAATTGTATTATATTCTTCTACCTGTATGAATATTTCACAGCTACACTAGATAGAAATCATGTACCGAATCAAGTTATACACGATATGTTATCGCTTTCTGCATTCCTCTACATGTATAATTCAACTTCACAATACTAACAACGCCACCAATGCACTTACTTCTTACAAGTCATGCACTGTGCCATAGCTTTCTGCGTAAACTGCCTATAGGCTTTGCCGCACACTGGGCACGACAGACCCTTGTTTCTCTGCTGATAGCAGCTGTCGCACACGGAGTAGTTGAGATGCCAGCGGGAGCTGGGACCGCTGCCTGGCGTTCTGGAACCACAGTCACCACACACGCGACAGTTCTGGAGAACCACAATAAAAAGAATTAATGAAATTGGAAAGGCGCTGTGAAACAAATGAAAAAGACTACTCACATCTACTGCGACACAAAGATGCAAATACAACCAAGAAAGTTCACTCAAAAAAAATTTCACTCTTCTTAACACATGAACAAACGTGAAAAAAGTTTATGTACTGACACAATTTGTAGCATGTGCAATGATCTTCCAAAAGCATCAACAAGGTGTGGTGCAAACCTGCTATGCATAATCCACATTTCACTTTGTCACAGGCAAATTAAGGGCATGCACAAGGCCAAACATTTCTACTGCATTTTGAGATATCTAACGAACATCGGCAACAGATTAAAGGGCATCTAGTGTTATATATCATGGACCAAGGGGTCATCGGCATCATGAAAGGTCTGGTCACTCTTACCTTACACTTCCAGCCATTCTTTGGTATGGTGGTCATCACTGGCCGGAGACAGAAGGTGTGGTAGCCCTTGTCACATGTGTCACAGACTAACATCTTATTGTCATCCCCTGGTTGCCTAGGCAACAAAATATAATTCATTAGGAATCAATTTTAAATGCAGACATTAGATATTTGTATTTCCTCATCACATGCCTGGGTTTAAAAAAAAAATGTCTGAACATTATCTATGGGAACCACATCTATATGCTAGGGAAGTCTTCAAAACTGAATTTTAAATTTGACTGGCAGTCACATTCTGTATCTCTCTTTCTAAAAGTAATCCACAGAAAAGAGACAACCAATTTTCCTGGCTATAGATCGCATTTTGTCTACCATCATGCTTTTTTATTTTTTTATTTTTTTTACTTTTTTAAAGCAAATCTCCAAAGAAAAGATGCACGCCATTTTTGAACACCCACATTCCCATTTTTCTTTTAGAAAATCCTCAAAACGAAAGTTAAAGGGTTTCAAGATCCTAACAATATATCATAACATTTCTACCTGCATGTCTGGCATATCTTGCACTCTGGGCACTGCCATCCTGCCCTCACAATGGGGTTCACCTGGACTGGGGGATCCAGGCAAGTCCCATGGTAGTGCTGGCCACAGCTGGTACAAAACAACTGCTCCAGGACATCCCCGGCCTGGTCACAGACCACACACAGTGCCTCCTGACCAGCTATGGACACTGCCTGGTCAGTGTGGTCTGGACACAGCAGGGACAGGGTCTTGATGTCTTGGAAGCAGCCTCCGCCTGAGGCACACGGGTAGTGGTACTTCTTATTGCACTTCTGGTAGCGGCAGTTGATAGTGGCACCAAACTTTCTGCAGTAGGCACATTTCTGGGATGGAAAGAAATTATAATATTTACATGGTATCATTTTCGATAGACTGCCTATTAAAAAGGCACAAAAATCATATTAATAAAACAATACAACAATTATCACATATATCTCACAGTAACTGCCAATTCATTTTGCTAGCAGATGCAACTACCTTGATGCTTAAGCCTTTATTCACAAAAGCCATGATGGTTAGCATTAAACAAGGAAATACAAGAAGACAAATATTTGCCAACACCTTGTTAGTCAATATAAAATCTCATCCAGCAACATCTGTTATATTATCTGACTTGTTCCAGCAAACAACATTTCTATTACCTGACTGGTTCCAGCAAACACAGCCTTGTCCACATATTGTAGAGTGTAGTCCTCGGCTTGTATCACACCGTCTGACCACGCGGCACAACAGTGGTGAGCAGAAGTGTGACCTGATATCAAAGGAAGACAATTGTTACCATTGACAAACACTCAACAATTTCAATAGTGGCTTCTAAACTCCTAAATACCATGCCACATGCCTTATACTATAACCTGTATCTTTTTTGTCATCTTCACTGCTAAGTCACTGATTTAATCTCAAATTTTCACAACAATTATTATTACCCGAGGGTTCAAATAGCCTGTGTATGTCTGTGTCTTCTGGATATCCCACTGTGTTCAGTTCATCCACTGTGGCAATTGGGCGGCCATCAGCGTCTGTTATACTGTGAGGATTGGGCCGTCTTGGGGATTTACTGCGTTCTCTGAAAATGATTTCCATTGAGAATAGATTTAATAGATTAATAGGATGTTTTTTTCTTTTTTTTTCTTTTTTTTTTTTGTAAATTTAGATGTTTCTTCGAATTCAGTTTGTAATGGAATTCCTCCAATACAAAGTTAAAAATAAACGCTGTGTAAGGCCAAGTTACTGAATACAGACAAAAATACAGTAACAGTCCTAGGCTTAACTTTGATCTAAAATTCAAAATTTTACAAAAAGTGTGTATAGTTATGTCCTTCAAATATATAATATTGAGATTCTGAGTTGTACTGGTTCTTGCTCAAAAACTAGCCTATCTAATTCCAATTTTGAAACAAGGGTCATTGATACCCACCTTCCTGGTTTTAAGGGCCCACGAGCACGCCGCCATGTCAGATGTTTTGGACTCTTTTCTCCCGAACGATCATCCAGCTCAGAAGAGCTTCTACGATTAGCTTTGGCAAGTTGTTTTTTGAAAGGATTGAAATTTGGTGTAGGTTCATAGCGTGTTAAGTCCCCCTGACCTAGTAGACTCTTCTTTCCACAAGCACATAATGAACAAATCCTAGATTTAAAAAAAAATTGAAAATCTGAAGATTGATCTTAACAGACATTGATCTGGTAACATAAATATCTTTTCAAAGGTTCTGATTTTAACCTTGCTTGTCTTTTTATTCTTTCCCTTTTTCATCTTCAAATTCTTGGAAAAGATATATGCAGATTCTTCATGTACACTAGCAAATGTAACAGCCTAGACTAGAGGAACCATAGAGCACCTTCACAGTTTACTGAATATAAACCTAGAGGATCAAAGCAAAACTGAAACTTGGTGGCGAAATTGATATCTGATGGCAACAGTAATTTAGTGGCTATTAATTCACATAATTAGTCTTCTTTTTGCTTAAAAGGATATTCAAATTTGCTGCCAGTAGAAAAACTGAAACTGACTTATCTAAAAAAAAGGGGGGAAAAAGAGCAAGAGAGATACAAAATCAACACTTTAAATATTGATCAACATCACACTTACGGCTGATCCCCCTCTTCTGATCCGCCCTCCTCGCCAAGACCCGACAGACAGCCCGTGCTTCCAGAGAGACCCTTGGACCCCTCATCCTCGCCCAACTCGACCACCTCCTCCTTGCTGGAGTCAAACTGAGACACTGTGGACGAGTCCAAGGAAGCCGGGTTGGAAGATTCCAGAAGCTCGGATTCTGCGGTAGATATCTCTAACTCTGCTCCGACCTCTGTGGTGGAGGGTTGTGCAGATGGCGGGGGAGGTTCGGGGATTTTGACCTTGATTTTGGGGGGCCGTATTCTTTTTTGTAATGAAAATGAAATTTAATTATATTCATTTTAAGTACTTTAATGTATTTAAGCTATGTTAAAGAAAAAAAAATTAGTTATAATACAAACATTTTTGAAGTATTTTATTTTTCCAAAATGACTATATATAATAAAATCTTAAGTCTGAAACCAGCAAAAGCTGCATGATACAAATTTGATATATCAGTTTGCCCTTTAAATATACTACTCACCTTTTCTTTTTCCCTGGTGTGGGAGACGATGCATCTTTCTGTGACCTTGACCCACTGACCTTCTTAGCAATGTCATCACCTTCCATTCCAACTGCTTGACCACTTGGGGGTTCTGGTGTCGGCGTAGACCTTTCTGGGTCTTGCTTGCGCAAACGCTGCCTATTTCTGCCTGTAGGCCAATGCAACAATTTTGATTTCAATTCCACAAAAATAAGTTATAAACTATTACATTTCTCAGTTTATCCAAATCAAAATTTCTAATCCAATCTTGTCACCTTTGGAAAAGAACAGACATATATGATGCTGACTAATACCATACCTAAATATGATAAGAATGATCAGAGGTGCAAATTCAGATACCAAAAAAGTATGAATCAATGGATATAAACTACGAAAGCAGCAATTCATAATTAGCCAGAACATTTCAATCTAATCCACAAAATCAAATTATACATTATCTCTGGCAGTCATTTAGTATCAAGATCATAATCAACACCTGGTCAAGCAGGTCCTTCACTAGAATCACGTCAGATGACATAAGATTTGACCCTCCTGCAATAACAATGACTGCCCACTCTAAAAATTGATAATGAGGACACAAATAATGCTGAATATGATTTCCTTTATCAATGGATGATTTAGTATCTAGAAAGAGATCTACATATTGGTTTGGTTATGATATCACTTACTTGACATGCTGAGTTATCTTCCAGACTCAAGCTTGCAGTGCGGAGGGAGAGGGAGACCTACAAAAAGCAGAGGCAAAGCTTACTGCAGGTAATGCAAGCAGTGCAGGTAATCATGAAAAGCGGTATACTGTCACAGGAGAAGAGCAGACAGCAACAAAGGTGAAAGTCATGCATTCAGAAGAAAATGATGAATGAATGATTTAAGAATTAGCAGGAAGGAATGAAGGAATGGGATAGAAGGAAGGAAGAATTGCAGACTGGGGAAAAAAGAAAGGGAGAATCCTCTACACCTGACTGTTAGTTAGAAGAAGAAGAGGGGTTCAGGAAGCAGAATGAGTATGCAGCAAGGAGGGATATTTGTAAGGCATGCAAAAAAATTGATATGATTTCAAAATATTTCGGGAAATGAAAGGAAATGAACCTCAAACCAGCATGCAGAGAATCATAAGTGCTAAAGAAACTATGCAATGTATGAATGAATGCACTAGTTTTTTTCTGGAATTAAAACTCTCATGATTGTTGGGTGGAAAGGATATTCCCGCAATTATCCATGCGGAATTAGCCACCTTCATGTAGAAAACAAGCTTCAAGTATTTGAAGGTCTTATATGTATCAGCCAGTACTGCAATTGCATTGAACTAGCACTATCAACTAGCAATATGAGTATATTCTAGAAAAAAAAACCCTAACACATAATTGTGTTTACAAAATACTATGTATCAGAAATAAAAAAAGTTTAGTGGCAAACATGCAAGCATGGAGACACATTAATCATATCATTGCAAAGCTTGAGTTATTACCAATTATTAACATACTCGAGTAAATACAATGAACAACCCCCTTTAAAACAGAAATAATGTGTAAATTTTAAATGCAGAGAGCAAACTCAAAATCCCAGCTGTGGAAAAAGTCATTACCATTATCATAATTGTTCATTGTTTGGGAACGAACAATATGTAAGGTCTGATCTTCGAACTAAATAGGTAGTGTCGAGTTGCACTACTACGACTACTACTGCTGCCGGTATATTTTAGTTCAAACATGAATTAACAGTAACGGGCCTGATAGAAATTAATAAACAGCTCCACTGACGATAGTAAAAGCCTTTCCTGCAAGCATTCAATTAAAAATAAATTCTATGCAACGCAGCTCCGCGCAACCAATCGATGGCTCTCCAATCAAATGGATTTGCCGATGAAGTAGGCCGCACAAAGAAAAACGAGAAGTCCTTTACGGAACAGACTGAATTACTTCGGCTTTTGGACTGATATTCTACTCAAAAAATCAAACAAAGGTTTTCTGAAGCACATGACACATTTTTATCTGCAACCCACCTTAAAAGGAGTGAAATCTACAAGAAATCGGACAAGCCGAGGGCTGGGCAGGTCGTTTTCACTGAGGATCAGTCGAGCTCGCAGTCGGCGTCCTCTTCTAAGACTATAGCTGCGCTAATGACAGCAAGACTCAACTCGCACTTGCATATCCTCCTCTCCTCTCTCCTTGGCAAGTCCGATCAACACCATTCAACGGAATTGCAAATAATTTTAATTTGAACTTCAAATAAAATAAATTATGTGTTAAATGGCCGACGCCATGATGGAACCGAATAACAAATTAGATGCGAGAAAAAAGTTCAGACGCTATTCAATGTTACATTATACATAAGACACTTGAAGCATTGGCAACCTAATCGATGAATAACAGAACAAATCATGTGCTTCATAAACAATCTTTACTGAGCTGCACTTTGAGAAAGAATATATAATTGCCGTGGGAAATATGCGGATGAATATAATGCAATCAAGAACGTCGCACTATTTGACCTACTTTGACCTCAGCATGTAGATTTCAGCGCACGCTCCATTTACAACTGAACGGGCGGGTATAAGCGCGGGTAAGATAAAGTAAACACAATAATATAGGATATTATCCGCTCGTGTGTCTATGCTTCATTTTTGAAAATTTAACAACGCAGTGTTAATTATTATTATTTTAAATTTCTTGTTTAATCACACTACCGGCAAAGAAGCACAGTCTAGATGTAAATTGCAGTCAATCATTACCTATTCACAAGTTTGCTAAAAAAAAAAAAAAAAAAAAATTATGAGGCCTAGACTTCAAAATGTCTTCCTGTGTTGGACGATGTTTGGGTGCATCATGTTTATGTAAGGGCTGCAAGGTGAGCGTTTTGCTCTCAGATTGCCCATATTCAAAAGTTTCATAATGACGCCGGATATTTCTAACGAATGATTAACGATTACAGAAATGTATTGAGTGATAGTTATGATTATAATAAAGTAAGGTAAATATTCGACAAAATTATATTTTCTTAAATTTCTTTTATAATTTATTTGTTATAAACTCGCCCCTCTTTTTTTACGAGTAGTAGGCTCAGGATTAAACACTTTTTGGAATGCAGTAGGTGCTATATATGTGTGTGTGTTTGTGCGTGTCAATGTGTTGCACATCTACCACAATACGATACAATTGCACCAACTGTCGCAGCCGAGTAGGTCTAGGTCCTTAGTTAGGACACACAATCAACATATGACTAATGTGTAGCGAAAAAAAATTTTTTTTTCTGGAAACTTTGACACTAAATGAGGTACATCATATTCAAAGAAAAAATAAATAGTTTTTTGACATTTTTTAATTTGAAAATAGGCTTTACTTTCTTAACAGTAACAGTTTTGGGTAGAGTATGTGTTTGTTATTGGGGAAAATTATTGGAGTTTCCTGGGTTTTTCAGGATGTTTCTTAATGAAGAGACATAACGAGCATGTAGCTATGTAATGTAGCTAAAATAGAGATTGAGGACGGAGTGAATTAGGCCAAGGCCTTTCTTTATCTAACACATAAAACAACGCCCGCGTAGGAAACTTTAGCTATTTAGCCACAGTATCCTACAGTCTGTCTAGATGTCAAATTTTGAGCCGGAATTCCGACTTTTTCTTTGTGAAAAAACAAACTTTTTCGTTAAACAATTCTCAAAACGATTTCCGATTAAGTAAATGAAATCTCTGGTTTGCAGTTACAAGTCAAAACCCGGCGTTGTAATATTATTCTGTTTTTAACTAAAACTTGGAAACCACTCCGTGTGCCCAGAGGCCACAGCAAATACAAAGTTTACACGACAAACACTGTTTACAGCATTACATCACCCAGTTAATTAAAGTCCCAAATTCTGTTAGTAGGCTGCGCCTAGGAAAATGCGCAGATTGCTCGTGAAATGGAAAGATACATATGTACATAGGGACCGTTCACAATGGACTTTGTCGACTTACCTCATGCGCACTAACTCCACCGGAATTCTCGCTGAATGCAGTCAGATTAACAGACTTACTCGCCTCCTCCTGGCGTTGAGCAGAATAGAGAAAAGTTGGTGTTTATTAAAGAACGTTGGAAACATGTGTTAATCTGTTGATCTAATTGCAATCGGCTAGAGTCCCCTAGGAGTAAGTGGGCATTAGCTAGGTCGACAAAATTCATTGGGTATGGGCCCATAGAAACCGTGCGCGGTAGAGACAGACGCCTAGAGGAAATTTCCGTCCCAAATTTATTGGAAATAAAATCTTTTCAGCTTCAACGTCGGCGATAAATATTTACAAGTTTTACCAAACAACGAAGATGCCTAGCTGTGTACACGCGACAATATTTGTCTCTATGTTTGGTTTTTCAATCGAACAGCATTTCATTTGTTCATTACCTACGTCAGGCGTATGTGCCTACAAGAGAGTGGCAGTTGTCAAATGCATTTTTTATTCTGTTCGATTTAGTGATGGGTTGTGGTTTTAATGTAAGGTTGAGGGGTTGCCTGATATTTTGTTATAAGCACCTAGTGACGTACACAAACATACTTGAGACGCGAAATATGATTTTGAGATTTTGAGGGCTATAATGTCACAAAGAAATACACAAATAGAAATATTTCTGCATTCGTTTATACATCTAAGCAGCTTCGTTAAGAATCAAAGAGACCGTTCACTTTTCATTACCGCTGCCATTTTCTATTATTTTTATATGAAATATTCGAGTACATTAAAAAAAAGAACGCGTGAACTCGCAAGACCGTTGATTAAAAAGTTGATTAGAAATTTGACAAAAAAAGATCACCATATCCCCATGAATCCCATGCATGGGTATCTATCAGGTTGAGGCGGACGAGGCAGTGACTATTTTGGAATTTTCCCCAGGAGTATCACTGCTGGATTTGGGGGGGGGGGGGGGGGCCCTAGGCGCAGGGGGGATTTTTTTGTTTCTTTTTCTGTTTTTTTTTTTTTTTTTTTTTTTGGGGGGGGGGGGGGGG